TTGGGACTGTCCATCAATGGCACCGAACCGCAGCATGATTGCGAATCTAGCAGCTTGTGTTCGGATGTTTGCATCTGTCTTTCATTGTTCGAAGCACTCCTCCTACCTCATCGAAGCACTGGCGCCGTACATTCTCAGCAATTCGGAGTCCACGAAGCAATTGGGTCAAATCACTCCCAGCATGTCACGGTGATTCATGATTCTTGTGTCAGTGGCCGGCGTCCTTGCTCCTAGTAGTAAGGCCAGGAGCCCCTAGTAGCGTCCTTGCTCCTAATTAGTAGTGGCCAGTTAATCCAGAATCTTTCCAGAAATCCCCGCATCAGTTTCCCTGTTCGCTCTGGTATTCCTTGCTGCAATGGGTGGATTTTGAGAATCAGTCCTTCCACTGAACCAAGGAGCGACAGCACCACACTGGGACCCTCAGCCGCGCAAAGAGGGTGACGCCGGTGGCACCTGGCTGCTGATTGAAGGGATGGAAGAGTGGAAGATAGTGAAATGCTGTCAACACAAGGTATATGATCGAGTCCAAAACCTTGGTGCTAACGGCCATTTGAACGCATCATCCTCAAAAATATGATGGTTGGCGGTTAGTGAAATACTTGTGTGTGGCAAACTGACACAGAGTCGAAACATCCGAGTTGTGATTCAACCAAGTCAGGTGCAGTAGACCAGTAGACCAGTAAGCTACTCTGGTCTTCTTCACATATCTTTCTTTCTTTCAAAACAAAATCCTGTCCCAGCCCTCTCCACGGGAGGTACACACACCTTGAGTGCCCGAAGCCGAGCCAGCGCAGGGCTGGGACCTGGCACTGGGGAAAGTGAGTCGTGTGCCTTGGGTATCTTGGGCTCTCAGGTCTGCAGAGAAGACCCTTGGGTGGTCGAATATCCGTGCAACACTAAACAAACTTACTGTTTTACCTTCAGCCGCCCGCCAACGCTGGTAGATGAGCATTTCCCAGAAATGTAGGGTTTGGACCTGCAGCTTGGAAATCTTCAACTGAAGGGTCCCCGGTCCGCGTCATCGAACCCGAAGACAACGCTACTGATCCATAGACGACAAATGTTTCTAGTACTAGCCGAGCCCTGAGGTCAAAGGCATCTGTCTCGAACTCAAAAGGCCCGTGAATCAACGGTTAGAAGATGTTAGAAGAATGTCGTGCAGGGATTCTGCGCAGTTCCACTCTCCGACCCGGAAGGCATGCACACGCAGCGGGTGACCTGGAGTGCGAGGAGTGAGGCCCGGCGAGGGCGAGAGCCCAGGCGATGGCTGCCCCGGAGCATTCTCTATCTCGCTGGCCGAGGTGTTCGCCACCTCAGCTCCGCAGCTCATAGTGATTCTGATAGTGATTCTTGTGACGAGTCTTATGGTGGGACGGTTGGGATGCTCATGTTTTCGGATTGCAATCCAATGCAATCCATCCCAAAAACGTCTTGAACGATCGAGACTTGCAAGAAGACACTATTTTTCTTGGGGATTCATCAAAGCGATCCTCGCTTTTAGCGAGGTCTTCGAAACCTGGGGTGCAGCGTTCCTTCCTTTGATCTTTGATTTGGTGATCCTTTCTAGGAGCTCCAGCTGGCTGTCCAGCTGGCCGAAGTGGTAGACTCTGGTAGACGGAGCCAAGACTTCTCGTAAATCGAAAAGACCACAGCTTGGTCTCACTTTGGCCGTGTTGGCATTTGGGACTGGACGAAGAAGCTGCTAGTGGCTTTTCTGCGGTTCAGGTTTCCCACACACAGAACTCAAATTGCCCCAAGAGTCCTGTTGATTTCATCGATTCCTCTGCACCGCTGAATGTCAAGATGTAACTGAGCTCAAGATCCCTGGTGTTGAGTTTTGTCAAGGGTATCGAATAAACCAGATACATACATATACATACAATTGTAACATATAGACACAATATATCATAATATGACATATATATGCAGCTGGAATCAGTTAGATACATTGTATGTACAAATAGCATCATATACAGTAATATCATATATCAGTATAGTTGTTTAGGATGAAAACCGGTTTTGTCATCTATCTGTTCGACAAAAGGCAGTCTTTCTTCCAAGGGGTCAAGGTTTCTTTTCCTGCCCAGCACCCTCAGGAGCTCCGACCTCGTGGAGCATTCGTATGTGACTCTTCCTTAGACGTGGGGAATTCACATGGCCAGTTGTAAGGAGGGCTAAAATACTAATACCTCTGTGAGTGAAGGGGTTGAAGGGGCTGAAGGGGTAGGTGACACCAAAGTGATACATGTTAAGACATGCATGACGTGCTCCACCAAGTTCAGTTCACATCTGCAGCCACAACGCACTTGGGCCCGAGTTCCAAGTGTCGATTCTCTAATATCAGATTGTGTGCATGAACACATACACAGCTGCGTAGGAATCCTGCCAACAGGACAAGTGCATGAAGATCTGTTGATGGGAATCCTCGTGTTGAGACAAAAACCCTTAACATTTGGTCAAGGGACCTGGACCAAAAACAGATCCCTTGTACTGCATGTAGATTCCCAACATTTGCAGTCGACCAATGGCATGTAAAAACAAACATAACCTCCAGACCGTACTCTTTGCACCACCTTGGTATCAGTACTTCAACTACACATCTGTCGTTGGGTCACCTGAGGGGGCCTCTTGGCTCAAAGACACATCCGCCCGCCCCATCCACGAACTTGCGGAGAGTTTCAGCAGGTCCATGGTCTTGTCCATCAGCGCGCAGGAGCGTTCCAGCGTTCCCACCTGGCAGCAATGAGTGGGTCAAGTAAGGCAGGCAAGTTGTTGACATATCCCGCTCATTCTGGTAAAGCCCATGTAGAAACAAACCATTTCGCTTTGCTAGGGTGCCCAGAACCATGTTTGGGAATAGAGCCCCAGTGAAAGGATCATGAACCAAAAACTTCATCCCACTATGACGACCCTCTTGACAGGCTGTCAGGACAGCCGCACACTGCCTCCAACTTGGACGTTTGCTCCGTGTCCTGCGCAGTGGGAACAGGGCTTGAAAACAGTGGAGTCAGTGGAGGAAACCAAAACGTTCATGCCCTTTTGGTGGGGAACCTACTTTGGACTCGAATCTGCCAAGAGCTTGGTCCTTTCTGTCGAGATTTGCCGACCCCATGCGAGTAAAACGGAATGTCAACTATTGAACTTGGGTGGCGTGATTCCAAGCAAGGACACCGGTAAGTGGTAAGCGAAGGCAGGCCAATGTGAAGTTGACACTCATACTTGTTTTCTACGGCGCGGCGAGACCAGGGAGAAACAGTGACTGAAAACACATATCATTAAGGGCTCGCAGAGTAAGTGCAGCGTGGGCAAACGTCATCAAGAATTATCACCTGGGCAATTTTCGGGGAACGCCAAGATAACAAAATCATAAAAGTATGCATATACATATATATTATGTATATACAATATGTATGTATGTATGTGTATGTATGTGGCTCAAGATCTCGGCTCAAGAGCAGCAGCCAGCACTTTGCTGGGCACTACGCGCCCCGAAGATCATCGCTCTGGAGATCGAGAAAGGAGGCCACACCCACCTGCGGGACTATGACCCGAGGCACTTGGGCCCGCTCCTATCAATGCTGCCGCGGAGCGGAATGCAGCAACTGGATTTGGGAAGACAAGGTGGCTGAAGGGTATGTTTGCCGCAAATGCGGCCTGGCTTGGCGGCAACCTGCACAAGGTTTTCGGGACCGATCGAAGTCTCAACCTCGAGGTCGATATGCTCCTCGCCAGAAACCTATCACACCCCCGCCTGGCCTGGGAGGGGGCAGAGTCTCCAAACTCTCACAGGTTCACAAGGCCACCACCGACCTTCTCATGGGCTCATGGGGCAGCTTGGACCCCAAATTGCAGCAGCAGCTCGAGCAACTTGGCATCAAGCCAGCTCCGCCAACCGTGGAGGCCGATGATTTGACGAGTGTCCTCAAAGAGAACATGGCCCAACTGCCCACTGCAGTGAAGGACCTGGTGGAGAAGATCACCAAACCTCCACCAGAAACGGAGAAAGACATGGCCATGAAACTCAAGGCCCAGGTGTCACATCTTCGAGACCTTTCCCACAAGAAGCAGGTCCTGCAACAGAAGCTGGACAATGCCAAGAAAACCTATGGGGACATGCTTGAGGAGATGAAGACTATCCAAGGCAAGCTCGAAGCTGAACAAGGGGCCCTTCACACCACCTCCGCGGCATACATGGCTTTGGTCAACACCAGCAAGCCGGCCACTGAGCTCCATGAAGGGGATTCCATGGAGGACACTGTGCCCAACGCGGTGGCAGGTTTCATTACGACCCTTGGGGTCAGTTTGACAGAGGACCAGAAGGCCCAGCTCACAACGATGCTGAAGCGCCCTCCGGCTCCCATCACTGAGGACGAGAACAAGCGTCGCAAAATGTTGGAGGAGGTTCAACAGTGTGGGTAACCTGATGCCTAAGGCTTCTTCCCTTTTGCACTTTGCTTCTTGTGATTTGGGGGCTGCTGATGCGGGACATCAGCCACTCAGGGATTCTCAATCGGGTTGCTGGGGTTTTGACAACTTGGTTGATTCTTTTGCAGCGGGAGGCTCGAGACGAGCCAAGGGTAGCCGCGGGGGCTATGGTCCTTGGCGCCAGCCTCCTCCTTTCAAGTTGAGGGGGGGTCACTCAGATCCTCACTCCGGGCCAGAGAGCAGCTGGGCCAGCCACGGGGCACCGTGTTCTTCTACCTCAGTGCAGACCTCTCGGGGTTCTGCAACCGACGGGACCCCACAGGCTAGGCTCGCGGCTCTTCTGGTGAACCTCATGGATGATGACATCAATCGTCCGGGTTCTTCAGTTTTGACAGCAGGCCAACAGGCCCTCTATGACATCTGCAAGCGAGATCTACATGGGTTCATGGTCCTCCACGTGGGCGATCCAGCGGACGAGCTCTTGATTACTGACAGCGGTGGTCTCTGAGCTCGACAAAGGCGCAGGTGGATTCGATGTGTTTAGAAGTCTTCCTGCTAGCAGCTTGCGTTCTTCAATGAGCATTGAAGCTGTGCCAAATGAACCCACAAATCATTCTCACGACAATGGAGTGGACTTTGCCGCGCCTCCACTCGCCTCTAGCAGCATCCGTTTTGCATGTAACAGTGGCTTTTCGCAGAATACACGTTTTTGCCATGCACAGTTTTTTCCACAGCCAGTTTTCGCACACCACGTTTCGACTGAAACAGTTTTCCCACAGAGCTATCGCAACCGCAAGAGGCGGGAGCGACACCAGAATCGAGTGAGAGAGAAAGCACACCTAGAAAGAGAAAGGAAACGCCGAATGATTTGGAACCAAGTTTGCCGAGAGAACCGCCTGCGTGAGAATCAAGCTCAAGAACAAGAGCTTGTGCCCTCTAACGGGCCTCCCACACTTGATGGTCATGTCCGCATTGGTGCCATTAACATGGAAAAGTCCAACCCTGAGAAACTGGAACAGTTAGTGCGACTAGCTTCCCGGCGTAATTGGGAGATTGTTGTTGTGTCTGAAGTCTCTCCTACGTCTCGACACCATCGCCAGCCTATCCAACAGTGCAGACACTGGAAATGGGAAGGTTGGGAAATGGTTCACACTGGCATGGTGGGCGTGCTGTTGAATCCCTCTTGGAGTGCCGCCTGGCACGCCTACCGGGCACCTAAGCACCGCTCTAACACTGGCCGAGTGCTGTCTGTGGCGTTACCGTGTGATCCTTCCACTGACCCGTTGCGCAGACCTTCTGTTTGGATTGTTACTGCAGTCTGGGCCCCAATCTCGACTTCAACCACAGAGGAACTTGACGAGTTTTGGGATGAAGTGGAGCATGCAGCCTCTACCACTGAACTTGCCTTCAGTCCCTCGTGTGCCCTGTCCAGTGCCATCAGCAGCAATACCTTGCATATGGTGGCGGGTGATTGGAATGCGCAGCTGTATGAGGATCCCGCTGAACCTGCCGATGTCCTAGGGAGGTATCGCCCAACTGCACGGCATCAGGTTGATGACTATGCGACTTGTCGTGTAATGGCCTTGGGACGCTGGGTACATGCCGATAGCCATCGTCCTGCAATTGGCAATCGGCACCGTGGCACTTGGTACTCTGCTATTCATCGTCGATACTATGAGATCGATTGGATGCTTCTGCCTCGTGCTCAACTCCAGCGCTTGGTGAGTATGACTCTTCGACACACTACAGATGATCTCCAAACTCAACATTCTGCCAAGGAATATGTTTTTCGGCTGGCCGCAACACAGGCTCGACATCGTGGTCCTCGTGTTCCCCGCCCTGACTTGTCGATACTCCGTGGTACTTCGGAAGCAGCTGCAGAGGCGCGGGACACCTTGACACACCGAGTCGCGCAGGCCTGTGGCCCTGACACGTCCTTCGATGACTTCCGACGGGTGGTGGCTCATCAGACCCTGACTGTCTGTGGTGAGATGCCGCGCTCTTGTCGGAAACCTTGGCTTCGCAGCCCCGCTGCATCCAGAGAAATTGGGGATTTAAACACTGAGTGTGTTTGCCTTCGCAGGACTAAGAGAGAACTACAGCAGGCTCTACATGATACGCCGGATGATGCTTCTACACTGTCTCAGCTGGATGCATGTCGACAACGCCACAATGACTTGAAAAAGCAGCAGAGATGCCTTCTTCGTTCACTGGAACGCGACTACTGGGAACAAGTGTTGGCCTCGCATCCTACACAGGCGGCCGACAGTTTCCGGTTCTATAAAACCCTGCGCACTCTGCAAACAAAAGGCACCTACAAAGCCGCTCGTCAAAATCCATTTGCGCCTGACGAATGGCGCGATCACTTCTCCAACATCAGCAGCCAACCGGAATCGTTGCATGCTGACGTCGAAAACTTCATCACTACGCTGCCAGTTTCTGACCATGTCCGACAGTGGTCGTTGACTCTTGATGCTGACATCACGGATAAAGAAATCAACACCGCCATGCAACGGTTGCGAGCTGGTGCGGGGGGTGGCGATGGTATCCCACCCATTGTGCTCAAGACGCTGTTCCAAGACCCTTCGTTGGCTTCGTTGATCCGTGCCTATGTCCGTCGACTGTGGTCCACTCCTGCTACTGAATGGAAGGACCAAGGTCTGGATGGCCCAGGACTGCAAGTTCCTCTTTGGAAACAGAAGGAGCCTTTCGCCAACATGGACAAATGGCGTGGGGTCGTCCTCCTTTGGTGCATCCCTCGTGTCTTAGCTAAGGTGCTCAACCACCGAGGTCAACAATGGTTCGAGACCACCGACCTCCCGCTGCCTGAGAGCTTTGGTTTCCGCACCGGTCTTGGAACAGATGATGCCTTGTTCATGATCCGTCGGTTGGATGAAGAGATCTCGGCGTGGCAAAGTTTTGGTTGGAATGAGACCACCTATGAGGCTGGGTTGATGGACCTGCAGAAAGCATACCCCACGGCCAACAAACTTCCCTTCTGGCATTTGCTTTTCCATCATGGCGTACAAGCTCAGGGTCCCTTCATCAATGCGCTTCGTGGCTTCCACTGCTGCCGGGATTACTGCATCAAGACTGGCCCTGATACATCGCCGGCTTCCTTAAGCGCTCCTTATCGGCCGGCTCGTGGATTTGGCGAGGGTGACGGTACTTCGCCTTGGGCCTGGAACGTCTTGTACAGTGGTATGGTTCGATACTCTCTTGCAAAGCGCCCTGCCAGTGCAGCTCGTCGTGGTCTGGCATGTGGTATTCCATGGCGATGGCATGAGTCCATGGATTTGTGCTCCAGCTGGACTCGCAAGAATGATGGACGACCCTCCAACCAAACTTGTGTCGAAGTCACCGTGTTTGCAGATGACACCACCCTTCATGGATCCAGACAGGAGCTTCATCAGTCCGATGAACATGGATCCGCTGGCATGGATGTGTTTGCTCAGGCTGTGGCTGACTGGGGATCTACTGAACACCCAGACAAGCGTGAAGTGCACACTTATGGAACGCCTAGCCGGGTCTGTCTGGTTGGTGGTGGCATCGACCCTGGTGAAGCAGTCAATCGGAGCATCCAGCGTGGTCTCAAATGTTGGGCAAAGATTCGCCCCGCACTTAAGAACAGTCGGCTTTCCCTCCAGCAGAAGGGGAAACTTCTCATGACTTTCTTATATAGTGGCCTTGCCTACTCCTGCAAAACTCGGGCGACCCGCCAACGCGATGTCCTTCGCATGCAGGCAGTGATGAACACCGCTTGCCGATACTTGTGCCGAACTCGTCTGCCGAAAATGCGTGAGCAACACGTCAACCACAGTGACTTGCGCGCTCTGCTTGGCATTCCTACAGTGCAAGCTGCCATGGACCGAGAACAAATGAGGTGGCTGGGTCATGTTTGCAGAATGCACCCAGGGTTGAGCACGACCTATGCCAAGACCTTTGCTCGCGGCACCATTGACGTCGGCGCTTTTCAACGTCAGGCATCAGCGCATGGTGGTCGAATCAGTGCGGATCGCAAGAGCCTACCTGACATGTGGGTTCAACTTTGCCACAAACACGGACTGGATGAGAACCACCTTGATGAAACCGCTCGGGATCGTGACAATTGGAAGGCGATCCTTGACAGACGCTTTGCTCAAGCCCTGTTTGAAGATCGGCAAGCCTCTCACCGGCACATGGACACCCTGCCAAATCCTGGCCTTGAACCTTGGAGTCGACCAGGTGACCGACGTGGTATGTCACCCACTGCTCGTGAACGCAAGTCCGAACTTCAACGTCAGCGGAGACAGGCTGCCAAAGCACAACCGAAAGCAAAGGGTGCTGCTGTCCCTATGCGGAGACCTGCTGCTGCAGCCAAGCGCCAACCGCGTCAAGTTCAGCGCCACCATGACAAAAAGGTGTACTATGCCGGACACAACCAACGGAAAGTGAGTGCTGAAGACCGTGAAGCTTGGGAATATGTATGTGACTTCCCCGGCTGTGGCTTGAAGTTTGAAACTAGCAGGGCCCTCAACATCCACAAAGGCAAAGCTAACAAACCTGGTGGAACTCATTCGCAACTTTGATCTTTTTGCTTCTCTCCCTTCCAACATGGTGCTCTACACGTTTTTGAGTGCATTTCTTTTTGCATGCTAACAGCGCTCCCAAGGACCAGGGTCTGTAGAACCCCTTAGCGGGGCTGACCTTGGCGGCGTGAGACCTTGTTGAACCCCCTGGCGGGGCGGTCTCATGGTGGTCACTTGCCGAAGTTTTGTCTGAAGCTCAGTTTGTCCCACAGCAGTGCCATGCCTCCAGCCAAGCGCCCGCGCCAACCTGGCCAAGGGGCTGGGCGCCAGCAGCGCGACACCACACAAGTTCGACTTCTTGGTGCCCATGACCATGCCATCGAGAAGCTCAAAGCTGCATTGATGTTGATCCTGTTCTTGCCTAAGGCATTGCATGACCATGTCGAGCAAGCGGCGAAGCAATGGAAAGATCGCAGTAAGCCTGGTGAAGAACATCCCGACAAGTGTTCCTGCACCTGTGCCAGACTTAAGGCTCTCCTTGAGGCTATCGACCGGGCCATGGCAGGACCTGCGCCAGTGCTGGTTGGCGCCGAGGAGTGCAAGACTTCTCTCACTCACCTGGTAGAGGTCGTCACCAAAGGGGGAGCTCATTGCATTGTCTCGGACATTAGCTTGAAAGCCGCTGCGTCCCGCAGCCCTGAGCAATCGCCCTATGAGATCACCTTGACATCCTCTGCTGAAGGCCATATGATGCGAACAGCGTTGCTGGGTGTCTCCCAGCCCAACGCTACCCCGAATACTCGTGACCAACCGGTGAAGAGCTGGGAAGTGAGAGCTTACAGGCCTCGGCGTGGAGGTCTGATTCGTGAGCTGCAGGGCTGAGTGACCACGGGGGGTGCGCCGCAGCACAGCACCCCTTCCAACCTTTGTGCTGCCGTTAATGTCTCTTTGAGCTCGACTATGGCAAGGCAGAAGCCGTGGCCATTTTTTGATCTTGCTCATTTTTGCAGAAGTTTTTGCCAAGGTTTTGCCACTTTTTGCACAAGTTCTACGTGGTCAGGCTCTTCGGAGCTTAGTACCGATCCTATCCTATCCAAGCGAGATCTTGATTCCTCGCGGGCAGACTTTGAGCAGAGTTGGTCCTTGGTCAAGGGTCAACAGTTTTTGGTTGATTTGAGAAGGATGGAAAACACCCTCCATAAGCTCCTGGCTGTTCAAGGAGATGTTCCTCATCTGGCCACGAATGTCTACGTTGTGGCTCAGGCTTTGACCAGCATCCTCTCCAATCCGCACAACATGTGTTTTGCAAATGCCGTCCTGCGTTGCTGGAGTTGGGCCGGTGCTCATGCAGAGGATCAGTCCATCGCTTGGGGCAGGACACATGCCGCGATTCGGGAATTTCTGGGGGCTGGCGAACCTTCTTTGCTCCGCAACTTAGATCAGATGCACCACATTCTCCAACACTTCCCGGAAGGAACTCAAGCTGATGTGGGGGATTTTGCAGGTCTCTTGTGGAACTTTGCGGACAGCACCTTCTTCGGAGGCAAGTTCTTTCATGTTCACCCTGATGGAAGGCTTGAGGACCGAGAGCAAGTTCCCCTCAACCTGCTGTTTCCACCAGGCGATTCGGCCATCTCCTTGGATGAGCTTGTCAACCAGTGGGCTGATGAAGAAGGCGGACAATACCTTTATGGGGCTCCTGATGGCCTCATTCTTCATCTTCAACGGTCAGCTTTGGTCCAAGGGCGCTGGACAAAGCACGATCGGCCTCTGGATTTCTCCACCAGCGTCAACATTCCCTTCTCGGAGGATGGCATCCATGTCCATATGGCCACCTACAGGATTGTCAGCTTGGTTTTGCATCAAGGTGAAGGGCATGAAAACGGGCACTATGTGTGCATCCATGCCATGGACAACACCTACTGGTTCGCCGATGATGATCAGTATCCTGTTCCCTTGTCCAACATTTCGGATCAGCAACGAAAGGAGGTTGTCCAACTCTGGCTGATTCACGACAATCAGGGCGAGCTCGTACCGGATGCCGTTGAAGCTCTGGCACCCAGTCAGCCCAAGAAGGCCAAGCATCACTATGAGACCTTGCACCTCATCTTTGGGAATGTGACCTTCTTTGGAGCTCGCGTTCAGGATTGGATCTGGACCAAAGGAGATCACCTTCTCTTTCTGCAAGAAACTCATTTGGGTCCCAAGAAGCTCAACGAGGCCCAGCAATACTTCAGTGCCAGAGGCTGGAAAACACATGGTCTCCCGGCCGCGGCTACTGGACGAGGAGGGACCACCGGAGGCATGCTCACTTTGCATGGCAACCGGCATCTGACCCATCTGGATCATCACTACCTCCAAGAAGGTAACGGCTGGATGTCTGTTGGTTTGCAAAGGCAGGACACGATGATCTTCATCATTCAGCTGTACTTGCGCACTGGGGAAACCTTGCAGCCCCCTCTCAATGCTGACCTTTTGGCTCATCTCCTCACCTACCTGGGACATCTTCGAGCTCCATTCATTGTGGGTGGAGACTGGCAGAACGAACCTGGCGCTTTGGCCGCCACGGTCATTCAGAGTAAGTTCAAAGCGGAGATCTTAGACACACAAGGACCCACCACCTTGCAAGGATCTCAATTGGACTTCCTGCTGGTCTCCTCCTCCTTGGCGCCGTGTCTTCAGGTTCAGGCAAACTGGGATGTGCCATGGAAGCCTCATTGTGCTCTGGATGTGACCTTCAAGTGTGACTATGCGGCTGTCTCTGTCCAACAACTTCAGCGCTTTCCTCCGATTGGACGGACCCACCCTTTGCCGGCCACCTGGACTAGCTTTTGGGAAGACGATGGTCCCTTCCACATCATGGGCCAACCCATCACTGGCATTGGCTCTGACTTTGCTCGATGGGCTACGCAGACCGAGAAATACCTCACTCAGTTGCTCCATGCACCCACACAAGGCAGGGGCTCTCGGATCTCTATGTTCCAGGCTCCTCTAGTCGATCAGACCAAGTCACAAGTTTGGAAGAAAGGACATGTTGCCTTTTGGGAGAAGATGAAGGTGCGAGTCAATGTGGTTCATCAATCTCAGCACCCTCGAGTTGCTCAGGACCTGCTCAATATGCTTGAGGCAGTACCACAGCATGCCTCGGATGGGATGAGCCAAGACTTGTTCACTGCCCTACTGAAGCATTGGATCCAGCATCCCACTAATGAACCTCTGGAGATTCGGCGCATCATCGCTGAAGAGGAGCAGCTCGCTCACAAGGCCATCTTCCACACCTCCAGTGAGGAATACAAGCTATGGTTAGAGAAAGGCCTCAGGGGCCTATTCCGGAGTCTCCGGCAGAAAGATGTCCCATGGCAAAGGCCCTTCAAGCATTTGCCACTGGCAGAACGGCAACAGGCACGACAAGCCCAATGGGAGGACATTTGGCACCCTCGCCCTGATCCTCGTCCCCTTCGGCAATGGGATCTGCTTCAGGCCGCTGCCGTTGATCAAGCGGAGCAGTTACCTCCCATTCAGTCCCATCAACTACAGCAGCTACTTCGCCACTTGCCCAACAAGGCGGCTGGACCTGATGGCATTTCTTACGACTTCCTTCGGCATTTGCCTTATCCAGCGGTTGAGAAACTGGCAGGACTGCTCACCTCTATGGAGCGCGAAGGCGAGTTGGCTTTGCAACTGAGGGTGACCAACATCGTTCTCATACCCAAAAATGAGAAGGTCGAGAGACCAATTGCCCTTACCAGCTGCCTGTATCGGGTCTGGTGCCGTGCGAGAAAGGCAGACCTGCAGAGGTGGCAGCTTTCCTTGGATGATCAACTACCGTGGGATCAAGCCAGGCCCGGGCGTGATTGTTTGAGCATTGCCATCGGGAGGATGCTGCATGCTGAGATTGCTCGGCATCAGGGCATCCACACGGTCACCTGCTTAGCAGACCTCACTTGCTTTTATGACCATGTTGACCTAGATGCCATCATCGAGCCCGCCCGTGAACTGGCATATCCGCCCTTGCACCTCAAGTTTGCACTTGATGTCTACCGCGGACCCAGGACCATCCAAGCTGAAGGGATCAACGGAGAGGCCAAGCACTATGACAAGGGCATTCTTCAGGGATGCCCTCAGGCGCCAGCCATCTCGAAGCTCATCCTTTTCAAGCCCCTCAAGGTCATGGTCACCAATCATCCGGCTGCCCACCTCCAGACATGGGTGGACGATGTCAGTTTCGACATCCACAGCCGGGACCCAGACTTCGCTGCTCGAGAAGCGTTGCATGCTTTCCGCACCATGAAGTACCAGATGGAGGAAGCTGGTTTGAAGTTGAACACGGACAAGACAGGCTTCCTCACAAGCTCCAAAGAAGCTGCTAGAGCCTTAAAGGCCCTGCTGACGGACAGTGATCCTGAGCACTATGATGTCCTGCGCGACTTGGGCGTTGACTCCACTGCTGGTCGCAGGCGCCGGGTCCCTCAGATCAAAAAGCGCTTCTTGAAAGGCAAAGGCCGAGTTGGGATCCTTCATCGACTTCGGTTGACCACCGGCATTCGCTACAGGCTGCACAAAGGGGCCATTCACCCGGTGATGTCTTGGGGAGCTCAAGCCAACGGACTGGCTCCTCAAAGACGCCAGCAACTCCGAGTCTTAGCTGCTCGAGGACTCAAACTACAGCGGACCGGGTCGGTCGATGTGGTCTTTGATATGAGTGACGGACAGCCAGATCCTGGGGATTCCATCATCCTCCAACACCTGCACACAGTCTGGAAGGTCTTCCACCGCTTTGATGAGAGTAAGCAGCATCTCTTCTGGACCAGCTGGAACACCGCTTTGGGAGTTCTTCAACAGGCCAGGTACAAATGGCAGGTGGTTTCTGGCCCTCTTCAGGCTCTTCAGGCATACCTGCTCGACATGGAGTTTGACATCTCCAATGGCCACAAATGGAAGCGCACTGGCTACGGCGGGATACCGGACTGTTTGCTTTCCCTTTTGGATCCATGGCCGGTCATTCACTCTCAGCTCCAGAAGGAATTCCGCTGGCAACGGCTTTTGCGCTTGACCAGATATGAAGGGTGCCACGACATGGAAAGGCAGTTGGATTGGATGATCAGTTTGCACATCCAGCGGACCACCAGTGACTCCCTGGCCACCGGACTTCGTGCTTTCCATCAAGGGACCTTACATGGAGTTTCTGGCCATTGTCCATTATGCGGAGTTGACTTGACCTTCACTCACCTGCTCTGGGAGTGCTCCTTCTGGCAAGGCAGGGTCAAAGAGTTATCCTCTGAATGGGTCAATCGGTTGCAAGCAGGCACTGATCCTGAGCTTTGGCAGCGGGGCTTTGTTCAGCAGATCTTTTATGAGCCAGAAGAAGGTTTGGCCACCATCGAAGGCACTGGCTTGTGGAGTGATCTTGGGCTTTTGAGAGCTGACAAAAGTCACATCTGCTCCATTGCTGTGGCACCCACATGCGGGGACAAGAGGCATCGTCGGTTTGCCTTTGCGGTCTGTGTCCATCACACCAAGACCAAGCAGCAGATTGGGTCCATTACAGGCATCTGTCCTGCACCTGCGACGCGCAGAAGGGCTTTCTTCTACGCATTGAAGCAGTTGGCACTGCATGTCACTGAGAAGACTCCGGTGGCTCTGTATGATGTGAAAGTATGGCAGGCCTGGAAACCTCATGTGGCCTTTGAGACCTTTCCGGATCTCTTTCCGGGGCTGGAGTTCGAGGACTTTGATCATGTGTGGCCACTCCTTTTCTCCAAGCAGGAGCTTTCTCAGAATGAACTCCGGCGGATCACCCAGAGAGACACGCAACAGTTGGCCCTTAGCACTGGCAAGTTGTTCGAACCCACCGAGATTCTTGACATGCAGGCTCATGTTGA